GTCCCACGACAACACCTTGCCCTCATGCTGCTTTTGTAACTATGCTTTTGTACCTGCTGTTCCTTGGTCTGGAATGCCTTTACCCCAGCCCTTTCCCTGCCCTGAAACATTTGCTGGGTCCAAACCTCCACCGATGCCAGCCAGGCGCAGGCCTCTTTGACGCTGCAGCACTGACGCTCCTTTGTGGCCCCTGTCATGTTGCACTGGGATGCATTTGCTTGTCTGCGCCCTCTGTGGCTGGGAGTTGCCCTCTCTCATGGCAGGAGCTGAGTCTCGTCCACCTCTGTCCCCAGCAGAGCTCTGGGCTCACAGTAGCAGTGGAAAGAGGGCTTGGGAATAAAAGAAGAGAGGGAGAGGTGGGCTGGAGGATGGTGTCATGGAAGAGAGAGACTGAAAATAACGTGTTTTTAGGGTGGACTTGATTTTCACCCTGTTGATCTGGTCCATGAAAGTCAAGGTGGCTCTCACTGACTGGCTGAAGCCTGACTTTCAGTTCCTTGGCCTCACTGGCTTCCCTGACCAAGGGCCAGCTAGAACATTTGTAGCAACCACAGCAGAGTTGGTGAGAAATTGGCGTGGAAACATTAGACAGTGTGTCCTAAATAAGGAAAAATCCAAGCTTGTTTACTGAAGTGTCCAGAGGACCAACTATCCATCATTTAAAAGTCTGAAAAACGATTTTGCCTACCCTGCATACCTCTGGTCCTCTTCTCTGAACATAATAATAAACTGAAATAGCACTCAGTTCTGCAACCCTTGAACCTCGGTGCAGACTGCACTCAGCAACAACTTTAACATAATTCTACATATTATTTTGTATATTTTTAATCTCAGAAAACTAAAAATTACATAGCGTTCACTCATCCTAATGCATGTTCATGTATTTCCTGCCATTCTTCTTTCCCCCCTATTTATGGGATTTGGTTTTTGTTTTATACAGTTGTAAGTATGCCGCATTTGCAATTATTACACTGCTTTTTCCCACTTATTACATTATAAACACTTTAAAAAATTATTATATAGTTTAAAAATTTTTTTTTGTTTTTGGCTGCATTGGGTCTTCGTTGCTGCACACAGGCTTTCTCTAGTTGCAGCGAGCGGGGGCTACTGTTCGTTGCGGTGCACAGGCTTCTCACTGGGGTAGCTTCTCTTGTTGCAGAGCACAGGCTCTAGGCTCACGGGCTTCAGTAGTTGTGGCATGCAGGCTCAGAGTTGTGGCACACAGGCTTAGTTGCTCCACAGCCTGTGGGATCTTCCTGGATCACGGATCGAACCCGTGTCCCCTGCATTGGCAGGTGGATTCTTAACCACTGCACCACCAGGGAAGTCCCTATTATATAGTTTTCATAGCCAGAATTATTAATGGCTCCATCATCTTTCCAGACCAGACATGCAGCCAGTTTTGCTTAGTCATTCACGTAATTTGGGGTTTTTAGATTCAGATTTTTCATTGCTGTAAACAATGCTGCATGAACAACTTTGCGTAAAGCTTTGTCCATGTTTGTGACTGGGTCTTTAAGGTAATAATAAGAAACAATTTTTAAGTTAATAATAAGAAACAATTGAGTGCTTCCTATGTTTGGGGGACTGGTACTGTGCTAGTTACATGGATTATCTCACTCTTTACAGAAAACCTTAAGGGTAGATAATTTTATTATCTCCAATTTACAGATTAGGAGACAAGCACAGATGAAAGAATTTCCTTGTCCAAGGTAAGTGTTAGTGCCTGATTAAACCCAGGAAGCCTGGAGTCTTAGTGTTTTCATTCTCAGGAGTGTAATCCCTGGGTCAAAGTTTTATTAATGGGTTTACCCAAAGGAAGACCTTTTTTTTTTTTTTTCTGCCGGACGTGGGCCTCTCACTGCTGTGGCCTCTCCCTTTCCAGAGCACAGGCTCCGGACGCGCAGGCTCAGCGGCCATGGCTCACGGGCCCAGCCGCTCCGCGGCACGTGGGATCTTCCCGGACCGGGGCACGAACCCGCGTCCCCTGCATCGGCAGGCGGACTCTCAACCACTGCGCCACCAGGGAAGCCCAGGTAGACCTTTTAAAAATGAAACTCATTCCAAACTTCCAGATTTTTACTTGGCGTCTTCAGGTTATGTCTGCTCTTCTCATGTGCCAATTAAATGGAGAGAGTGGAAGAAGAAAATCTCCAAATGAAACTGACCTCGAGAAAGCCGATTCACCTTCCTCCTCGGGAAGCAAAATAAAGTGTCCCAAGAGGACACAAGGAATGTCTTTAGTTTCACAAGGTTAGAATTACTGCATTCATGTCTTTCTGCTGCTTTTGCTGGTTGGAACAGACAGTGCCAACCTGTTCTTTCATTCTGTGCATCTTCCTACATCCCAGTGATGGGTGATTTTTTTCAAGAAACAGTACCACTGTGCAGTGTAGCCATTTGCAAAGGGAGTTTATTCCCTTCGGGGGCCTGTTCAACACAACATCACATTCTCATTCTCCTACACAGTTCACTGTCCCTCAGACTAAGTCAAAACACTGGCTAGGCTTCAGGGGGACCTGGGAAACATGCTTTCAGCCTTACCTTATCTCCTGGGAGAGGTCACAGGTCCCCTTGCTGTTCTGTGCCAGGCCAAACTTAGTACACCCAAACAAATGTGTCAGCCACCGAAAGGGTCAGGAAACTTTATGCATCAAAAAGATTTGGTTCTCTTAAAATCACGAGTGTTTTCTGATCTCATCTGCGAGCTGTGTGTTGAGTCGGCGTGGAATCAGCCAGCCTGGGACAGATTGGCCGGTGAACTTAGGCAAGTCCCTCGTGACCTTGGAGCCTCCGTTCCTACCTGCAGAAGGGGTCCAGCACGTCCCTCGTGGTGCAGCCCTAGGATGAAATGATACCCACAAAGTGTCTAGTTCATGTATTCTGGCATGTGACTGGCACTAGACAAATGTTAGCTTCCTTCCCATATGGCTGAGCTTTTAAAATGATTGTAGCCCCCCTGCGGAGATTTACATGCAGAAGCAACCTGAAGGAACAGTTAGTAGCACTCTTAAAAAGTCTTGTGCAGTTTTTAGCTCTTAAAAATATATGGAAGTGTGGCCAAAGCTAAACGGAGGCATGTGGTCACCCCTGGCTTTCTAATGATTTTGTGCCCTCTGTAACAAATGTTCTTTCAATATTCAATATTTCTTGAAACAGATGCTGAGCGCTATGTGGACAAAGGATGGGCAAGGAAGGCTGGGTAGTTCTACTTCTGTGCACAGAGAGGATGCTTCCTCCACTTAGTCAACCCAAAGGCCTCTAGTTAACTGGGCCCACACTCTTGGACAGCAATTTGGTCACTGTCTGTTGTTACCTGAGCGTGCCACTTGGTAGGCTCACCTACCAGGTGCACCTTTGTTGGCTTGTTAAAGAATTACTTCTAACTACAGTGCTACAATGTCTCCTCCATCTTGTTTCTTTCCCAGTGAAGTTGCACATTCATTCATCAAATGTTTAATGGGTGTCAAGTCTATGCTAGGGACTGATCCACCACTGGGGATGCTATAAAAAGACAAAACCCCTGCCTGTCACTCAGGCCAGATGATCCCTTGGCTCCACTCCCTCATCTGGTTCCGAGGCCTTGGTGGGGTTTTGCTGACCTGTTTTTGGCACTTTCCAGAT